AAAGAGTCAACTAGAATCTAGAATTTCTAAACAAGAAGATAAAAACAAACAGCTGAATGACAACCTAAAGGAATTAGATGTTAGTTCACTGCTCTCTTCTGAGAGAGACGAGATTGCTGCTTGGAATGTTCAGATTAAGGAAAACATTGAACAGTTCAGAAAAGAGTTCCAGGAGCTGAATATGGAAAATGATGCCATGAAAACGTCCTTTGCTGATGCACTAAAGGGGAATGTGGCAGTAAAAGAGGCTGTAAAGGTGGTGGCACTGGAAAACATACAAACAGTTGACTATAAAGAGACAGTAATCGAAAAAATGAAAGACGTTGTGATGGAAAGGGCAAACCCACTCATCAGACAGGCACTTGATAAGGAGAAGACAGTGGTAATCTCAGGCATAAGTGAATCCCAGGAGCCAACATGGCAGGGGAGACTTGAAGAAAATAAAGCTAACGTTGTAGACCTGATAAGAAAGCTTGGAGTAGTATGTGGTCCTGAGGATATTGTAAACATACACCAACTAGGTAAATATTCGAGGGAAGGAAAGCCGAGACCAACAAAAGTAACCTTTGAGAGAGGGGAGACATGTAGGGAAATATTGTTGAGAAAAAAAAGTCTAAAAGACCTTCAAGAATGCAAAGAAGTGTTCATTAGACGATACAGAACACAGGAAGAGATGGGAAAGATCAAAAACTTGTTGCAAGAGGCAAGAAGGTTAAATGATGAAAGAAATGAAGAAGAGAAGAAAAATTTTCGTTACAGAATACTTCCAGACAAAGGGGAGATAAAGAAGATAATGACAGAAGATCAGGGGATGGGGCCTCATTAAGATTGTTATACACAAATGCTGATGGATTAGCTGGTAAGGCAGTAGAATTAAAAGATAGGATTCACAACAGTAAGGCAGATATAGTAGCAATTACAGAGACTAAGTTGAGTGAGGACATAAACAGTGTCACAGTTTTTCCTAAGGGCTTCAGAATACTAAGGGTTGAAAGATCTGAGAGGACTGGTGGAGGGATAGCACTGCTCATAAGTGAAAGGATTCAAGTTGAAGAAATAAACTTGGCTATAGAAAGTGAGTTCAGGGAATTTCTTGTTGCTCGCATAAATACTGGGTCAGAGAGCATTATAATAACTGTTGTATACAACCCACCAAGGAACCAAAATAGGCTTGAAATTTATGAGGAAAGTCATATAGGTACGATTGAAGTCATAAACTCAGTTGTTAACATGGCGCGGGAGAAAAAATGTAGGATTTTGATTATGGGAGACTTTAATCATAAAGAGATAGATTGGATAAATCTTGACCCACACAGTGGTGAGGACTCATTCGGGGCAAGATTCCTAGATTGCGTACAAGGGAATTTCCTACACCAACATGTAATGGAACCAACAAGAGCCAGGGGTGGGGATGAGCCATCACTACTTGATCTAGTGTTCACAGATAATGTGTTGGATATTGAAAATATTGAGTATGAACCACCAATTGGAAAGAGTGACCACTGTGTGTTGTTGATGGAGTATATCATTGAAGACATTCTTCCTGAGAGTAGAGGCACTGAGGACATGAGGAGGAACTATCTGAAAGGAGATTACATCAAAATGAATGAGCTTTTTGCAGTTATTGACTGGAGAACCTTATTTTACAACAAATCTGTACAAGAAATGTATGACATCTTTTGTGAGAAATATGGGAAGATAGTAGATTGCTGCATACCTGTCACCAAAGTAGGTGTAATTCATGCCAGAGAGAAATGGTTCGATAATGGGTGTAAAAGAGCTAAGGAGTGGAGAGACAAATGCTGGAAAAGGTATAGGAGGAGAAAAAACATAAATGCCTGGCAAACCTACAAAAGAGCAAGAAATGACTACCTAAGTAAAAGGAGAGAGGCAGAGAGAGATTATGAGAGGGACATCACCAGGAAGGCTAAAGAAAATCCCAAGCTTTTCCACAGCTTTATCAGAGGAAAACTGAAGGTAAAAGAACAGGTTTTAAGGCTAAAGAGAGCGGATGGAAGCATCACTGAGACGGACGAAGAGATCTGCAAAGAATTGAACAAGGAGTTTCAGTCAGTATTTACAGTAGAAAATACCCCACCCCCTCAGATTGCAGTGATAGAAGCTCAAGGGCCGGTATTAGAGAACATCAACCTTACAGCCACAGAGGTATGCAAAGCGCTGATGGATTTAGATGTTCATAAAGCTACAGGTCCTGATGACATATCCCCTCATGTGCTCAAAAAATGCGCAAACACAATATCAGTGGCACTAAGTATCATATTTAAGGAGTCACTGGAGTCGGGGGAGATTCCAAGATGCTGGAAACAAGCAAATGTGATACCTATCTTCAAAAAGGGAAGGAGGGATACGGCTCTGAACTATAGACCAGTTTCCTTGACCAGCATAGTTTGCAAAGTTATGGAGAAACTACTAAGGAAACATATCTCTCTTCACTTGGAATCCTTCAACTTTTTGTCAGTGAGGCAACATGGCTTCAGAGAAGGAAGATCAACAGTAACAAACTTATTAGAATTTTATGATGAGGTAAGCCAAATCTTACAGGAAAGAGAGGGCTGGGCAGATTGCATATTCCTAGACTTCCAGAAAGCGTTTGACACTGTTCCACATGGGAGACTTATTAGGAAGCTGCAATCAATGGCGAGAATAGGTGGAAATGTCTTGGAATGGATAAAAACTTACTTAGAAGGAAGGGAACAGAGGGTTAGAGTAAGACACTCAGTGTCTGAATGGAGAAGAGTTAGTAGTGGAGTTCCACAGGGTTCAGTTTTAGGGCCACTTTTGTTCCTTGTATATGTAAATGACCTACCAGAGTCTGTAAATTCATTCATGAATATGTTTGCAGATGATGCAAAGATTGTGAAGAAAGTAAAAAACGAGAACAATGGTAGAGAACTTCAGGAGGATCTAAATAATCTGCATGAGTGGTCAGAAAAGTGGCTAATGAAATTCAATACCTCAAAATGTAAGGTAATGAGAATGGGTACAAGTGCAAGAAGGCCCAAGCTTGACTACTCGGTGGCTGGAGTACAACTTCAAGAGACAGAAAATGAGAGAGATCTAGGAGTAAACATACTGGCAGATTTGTCTCCAGAAATACATATAAATGGCGTAGTAAGGGCAGCATATGCATTCTTATCAAATGTAAGGGTAGCCTTCAGGCACATGGACAAGGAAATGTTCAGAAATATTTATGTAACCTATGTGAGGCCAAAACTCGAATATGCAGCCCCCTTTTGGAATCCGCACTTGAAAAAGCACATAGCTAAGCTTGAAAAAGTTCAAAGACATGCCACGAAACTGGTGCCAGAAATACGCAAACTCGGTTATGATGAGAGGCTGAGGGAATTAGACTTGTCATCACTCGAAGCTAGAAGAGTAAGGGGGGATATGGTGACAGTCTTTAAATTCCTTCATGGTTATGATAGAGTGGATAGGGATGAATATTTCGATATGGCTGGCTCTAGAACTAGAGGTAATAGTTTGAAGCTTCGTAAGAAAACTTGTTTGCAGGATGTAAGGAAATACTTTTTCAGTGTAAGAGTAGTTGATAATTGGAATTCGCTAAGCGAGGAGGTAGTTAATGCTATCTCAATCCATAGTTTTAAGGACAGGTATGATAAGTATCACTAAGTCTAAAAATGGAACCGATCAGGAGACGGGAAGATACGAGCTTTGGGCTCTTTCCCGTAAACACAATTAGGTAATCACAATTAGGTAATCACACACACACACACACACGTTATCTTGTGAGTTATGACTTTAAAGGTCATATCGTTAACAGTGCCAATGAATTTAATCTATCACATCATTGACGAGATAGAGATAAGCTCTCTCTCTCTCTCTCTCTCTCTCTCTCTCTCTCTCTCTCTCTCTCTCTCTCTCTCTCTCTCTCTCTCTCTCTCTCTCTCTGACCACTATTGTCTTCAGTGCCCCACAGTGAGAGATGTTTTACCACGAGGTCAGAACTTAATACTGATCTGCTCATTTTTACTTAATGATGACAACCTTGATGTTATTCTTGCTCGTTATCCTCACTTTGGTGGCCATTAATTATATTGAATTATACATATATTTTCTGTATGTTGCTGTATAATTCTGTTTGTGCATTTTGCGTTTCTCTGAGCTTTACTTTTGCATATAATGTACTCTGTGCTGCCATACTGTGAGTTGTGTGTTAGTATGCAGCAATGTTTTATCAATGTGTACACCTCCCTGTAAACTATGTTCAATTCTTGGTTTTGTACCCATTTGAAGCATTATTTGTATGAACTCATGTAATGTCTGACGCCTTGGCGCAATAAATCAATAAAATAAATAATAATCTCTCTCTCTCTCTCTCTCTCTCTCTCTCTCTCTCTCTCTCTCTCTCTCTCTCTCTCTCTCTCTCTGTTTTTTTTTTCACGTAATTCCCTGCCTCCTGGTTTACATGTTATGAAAAACATTGAATGTGTTCTGAATATGTGTAAAGAAACTTCTCAGTATAATAATAATAATAATAATAATAATAATAATAATAATAATAATAATAATAATAATAATAATAATAATAATAATAATAATAATAATAATAATAATTATTATTATTATTATTATTATTATTATTATTATTATTATTATTATTATTATTATTATTTATTATTATTATTATTGTTATTATTATTATTATTATTATTATTATTATTATTATTATTATTATTAGTAGTAGTAGTAGTAGTAGTAGTAGTAGTAGTAGTAGTAGTAGTAGTAGTAGTAGTAGTAGTAGTAGTTGTAGTAATAGTAGTAGTAGTAGTAGTAGTAGTAGTAACAGCAGCATTTGCAGAAGTAGCAACTGCAGCACATACTCTTAAAGCATTATCATTACAGATGAAGATAAACAACATAATAAATATATTAGTTATGAATTAACTCTGAAGTTGAATTTACGTGATAAATATTCAAAAAGAATTAACTAAATTCATAAAAAAAAGAGAAAAAAGATGTAGCCCGTACAGGACTTGAACCTGTGACCACCGTCTCGTAAAGACAGTAACGGCGCTCTACCAACTAAGCTAACGGGCAGTTAAGTGTTTAGAGGAATCGGGAAAAAAAATTAAGATAATTTACATCATATCATATTAAAATAAAAAATATTTTAGTTTTCTATGGTGAGTGATTTCTTACGTTTTCTGTAGTGAGTGATTTGTACTATTTTTTTTTTTGTAGTTAGCATTCCTTCATTTGGCGAAAGTATTTTTTTATATATATTTTTTTTCTTGTTTTTTTATTTCATTATTGTTATATACGAGATGTTTTTATTGTAATGTGATAGCGCCATAAATATATACTCGTTTTTATAAAAACAAAAATGTAAATGTTTGTTTTATAAAACTAATGTTAAGACATTATAATTTATATATCAAATTAAGTGATTACTTAATTGTGAGTACCTAATTATGTTTACGGGAAAGAGCCCAAAGCTCGTATCTTCCCGTCTCCTCATCGGTTCCATTTTAGACTTAGTGATACTTATCATACCTGTCCTTAAAACTATGGATTGAGATAGCATTAACTACCTCCTCGCTTAGCCAATTCCAATTATCAAGTACTCTTACACTGAAAAAGTATTTCCTTACATCCTGCGAAGAAGTTTTCTTACGAAGCTTCAAACTATGACCTCTAGTTCTAGAGCCAGCCATATCAAAATATCCATCCCTATCCACTCTATCATAACCATGAAGGAATTTAAAGACTGTCACCATATCCCCCCTCACTCTTCTAGCTTCGAGTGATGGTAAGTCTAATTCCCTCAGCCTCTCATCATAACTGAGATTGCCTATTTCTGGCACCAGTTTCGTGGCAAGTCTTTGAACTTTTTCAAGCTTAGCTATGTGCTTTTTCAAGTGCGGATTCCAAAAGGGGGCTGCATATTCGAGTTTTGGCCTCACATAGGTTACATAAATATTTCTGAACATTTCCTTGTCCATGTGCCTGAAGGCTACCCTTACATTTGATAAGAATGCATATGCTACCCTTACTATGCCATTTATATGTATTTCTGGAGACAAATCTGCCAGTATGTTTACTCCTAGATCTCTTTCATTTTCTGTCTCTTGAAGTTGTACTCCAGCCACCGAGTAGTCAAGCTTGGGCCTTCTTGCACTTGTACCCATTCTCATTACCTTACATTTTGAAGTATTGAATTTCATTAGCCACTTTTCTGACCACTCATGCAGATTATTTAGATCCTCCTGAAGTTCTCTACCATTGTTCTCGTTTTTTACTTTCTTCACAATCTTTGCATCATCTGCAAACATATTCATGAATGAATTTACAGACTCTGGTAGGTCATTTACATATACAAGGAACAAAAGTGGCCCTAAAACTGAACCCTGTGGAACTCCACTACTAACTCTTCTCCATTCAGACACTGAGTGTCTTACTCTAACCCTCTGTTCCCTTCCTTCTAAGTAAGTTTTTATCCATTCCAAAACATTTTCACCTATTCTAGCCATTGATTGCAGCTTCCTAATAAGTCTCCCATGTGGAACAGTGTCAAACGCTTTCTGGAAGTCTAGGAATATGCAATCTGCCCAGCCCTCTCTTTCCTGTAAGATTTGGCTTACCTCATCATAAAATTCTAATAAGTTTGTTACTGTTGATCTACCTTCTCTGAAGCCATGTTGCCTCACTGACAAAAGGTTGAAGGATTCCAAGTGATGAGAGATATGTTTCCTTAGTAGTTTCTCCATAACTTTGCAAACTATGCTGGTCAATGAAACTGGTCTATAGTTCAGAGCCGTATCCCTCCTTCCCTTTTTGAAGATAGGTATCACATTTGCTTGTTTCCAGCATCTTGGAATCTCCCCCGACTCCAGTGACTCCTTAAATATGATACTTAGTGCCACTGATATTGTGTTTGCGCATTTTTTAAGCACATGAGGGGATATGTCATCGGGACCTGTAGCTTTATTAACATCTAAATCCATCAGCGCTTTGCATACCTCTGTGGCTGTAAGGTTGATGTTCTCTAATACCGGCCCTTGAGCTTCTATCACTGCAATCTGAGGGGATGGGGTATTTTCTACTGTAAATACTGACTGAAGCTCCTTGTTCAATTCTTTGCAGATCTCTTCATCCGTCTCAGTGATGCTTCCATCCGCTCTCTTTAGCCTTAAAACCTGTTCTTTTACCTTCAGTTTTCCTCTGATAAAGCTGTGGAAAAGCTTGGGATTTTCTTTAGCCTCCCTGGTGATGTCCCTCTCATAGTCTCTCTCTGCCTCTCTCCTTTTACTTAGGTAGTCATTTCTTGCTCTTTTGTAGGTTTGCCAGGCATTTATGTTTTTTCTCCTCCTATACCTTTTCCAGCATTTGTCTCTCCACTCCTTAGCTCTTTTACACCCATTATCGAACCATTTCTCTCTGGCATGAATTACACCTACTTTGGTGACAGGTATGCAGCAATCTACTATCTTCCCATATTTCTCACAAAAGATGTCATACATTTCTTGTACAGATTTGTTGTAAAATAAGGTTCGCCAGTCAATAACTGCAAAAAGCTCATTCATTTTGATGTAATCGCCTTTCCGATAGTTCCTCCTCATGTCCTCAGTACCTCTACTCTCAGGAAGAATATCTTCAATGATATGCTCCATCAACAACACACAGTGGTCACTCTTTCCAATTGGTGGTTCATACTCAATTTTTTCAATATCCAACACATTATCTGTGAACACTAGATTAAGTAGTGATGGCTCATCCCCACCCCTGGCCCTTGTTGGTTCCATTACATGTTGGTGTAGGAAATTCCCTTGTACGCAATCTAGGAATCTTGCCCCGAATGAGTCCTCACCACTGTGTGGGTCAAGATTTATCCAATCTATCTCTTTATGATTAAAGTCTCCCATAATCAAAATCCTACATTTTTTTTCCCGTGCCATGTTAACAACTGAGTTTATGACTTCAGTAGTACCTATATGACTTTCCTCATAAACTTCAAGCCTATTTTGGTTCCTTGGTGGGTTGTATACAACAGTTATTATAATGCTCTCTGACCCAGTATTTATGCGAGCAACAAGAAATTCCTTGAACTCACTCTCTATAGCCAAGTTTATTTCTTCAACTTGAATCCTTTCACTTATGAGCAGTGCTATCCCTCCACCAGTCCTCTCAGATCTTTCAACCCTTAGTATTCTGAAACCCTTAGGAAAAACTGTGACACTGTTTATGTCCTCACTCAACTTAGTCTCTGTAATTGCTACTATATCTGCCTTACTGTTGTGAATCCTATCTTTTAATTCTACTGCCTTACCAGCTAATCCATCAGCATTTGTGTATAACAATCTTAATGAGGCCCCATCCCCTGATCTTCTGTCATTATCTTCTTTATCTCCCCTTTGTCTGGAAGAACTCTGTAATGAAAATTTTTCTTCTCTTCTTCATTTCTTTCATCATTTAACCTTCTTGCCTCTTGCAACAAGTTTTTGATCTTTCCCATCTCTTCCTGTGTTCTGTATTGTCTAATGAACACTTCTTTGAATTCTTGAAGGTCTTTTAGACTTTTTTTTCTCAACAATATTTCCCTACATGTTTCCCCTCTCTCAAAGGTTACTTTTGTTGGTCTCGGCTTTCCTTCCCTCGAATATTTACCTAGTTGGTGTATGTTTACAATATCCTCAGGACCACATACTACTCCAAGCTTTCTTATCAGGTCTACAACCCTAGCTTTATTTTCTTCAAGTCTCCCCTGCCATGTTGGCTCCTGGGACTCGCTTATGCCTGAGATTACCACTGTCTTCTCCTTATCAAGTGCCTGTCTGATGAGTGGGTTTGCCCTTTCCATCACAACGTCTTTCATTTTTTCGATTACTGTCTCTTTATAGTCAACTGTTTGTATGTTTTCCAGTGCCACCACCTTTACAGCCTCTTTTACTGCCACATTCCCCTTTAGTGCATCAGCAAAGGACGTTTTCATGGCATCATTTTCCATATTCAGCTCCTGGAACTCTTTTCTGAACTGTTCAATGTTTTCCTTAATCTGGACATTCCAAGCAGCAATCTCGTCTCTCTCAGAAGAGAGCAGTGACCTAACATCTAATTCCTTAAGGTTGTCATTCAGCTGTTTGTTTTTTATCTTCTTGTTTAGAAAGTCTAGATTCTAGTTGACTCTTTTCCCCTTCCAGCTTTTTTATTCTTTTTTCTAGTTCCTTTCTCTCCTGCCCTTGTGCTTTATTTGCTTCCTCCAAAGATCTTATTTGCTCTCTGAGTGTTTCATTCTCTTTCATTTCTCCATCCATATTCTGAATTTTATCATCAAGGCTTATAACCATTTCCTCTATATTCTTGATTTTCTGTTTGAGTCTCCTGATGGCTACCCCTCCTACCGACCCATGGAAGGGAGAGGTTTGGGACAGAGATGGCGTCATTTTTATGTTCTCCCTCTCACAGAATATAGAAAGAAGACGAGAAAGAGGGAAAAAAAGAGAAAAACTTTTAATTAAGCTTCACACCGAATTTTTATATCTCCATATAAGTGCTATTTAGTGACTCAGTTTATCTCTTTTCTGGTAACACACATCTTAACTTAAAAACTTGACATTGGTAATTTAAGGATAAAAAGAAAAAGAAAAAATGCAACAAAACAAAAGTCAAACCTGAAGGAAAAATTCGAACCTGTGTCTGAGGTGGCACCCACCTGTTTCTGCTATATATTCTTCCTAACTGGTAAACTCACTTGCTAACCAAGGTATGTTATCACAAGATTAGACTTTACATTTAACTCAATATATATACAAAATAAAAACAAAATAGTAAAAGAGAAAGCTAAAAGAAAAGCAAAAAAAAAAAAAATGAAGAAAATAAGACAGCTGTACTACTTGGCAACTTAACTCAGTACTGTTGACAGGTGGATATTTGTTTTTTTTTTTTTACTTATTCAATTATTTCTTGTATCAAACTAACTAACAAGTTAATATAATATGGGAAGGATACTGATTTTAACAATATATGCATCTGTGCGTGTGTTTGTATACACAAACGCACGCCTAACCTAACGTAATGTAAGCAAACAATTTACAAGGTTC